GTTTACCTAGATTGATTGTTTATGAGCGCGGGAGTCAAAGTTCTACCTGCATATGACTACTTGTCTCTGACTTATAACTTTTCATTCTGACATTGACAGTTCGTTTAACACGTATTGGAGTCATCCGAGACTCGTTGTTTACATTTAGTGCTGCGTTGTTTAAATTACGGGATTTTCCTTCCCCTCTCATATTTAATCTATTGTTATTATTTAATCATAAGAAACTATGACACACTGAAAACTCACACAATGAGAAACTATGGCACACTGAGCAGGAAAACACGTGGGTCGCCCTATGTTTTTGCAAAATTAGAGGAGGTCAAGTAGACATGCCGACAAAAACCAAGACAAATTTTCCATGAAAAAAAATCAAAAACCAAAACTGATGATAACCGAAGTCAATGAAAACCAAAGTATTACTGTAAATTTTTATGTAATGTTTTCTAACTCAAAAGTTATTTAGTGTTTTAAAGTTTATATCAATGCCAATTTAATATAAAACAAATTTATACACTAGATTTAAAAAATGAAGCAAATGAAAATTGTGCAGCAAAATTCTGCTTTATATAAATCAGTGATTCTTCAATAGGGGGATCATGACTCCAAATGGGATTTCCAATTCTTATGGAGTTGCATAAACTCCTTTTATTAAACATGATTCTCATTTAAAATCTTTTTTATAATCAATTCCTAACAAGAAACAAAATGAACGCAATAAATTTTGTACAAAATTGCAATATCAGCAATGACTAACATCAATATTATTATACTAATTATGTTAGTAATAGCTGTTTTTCATTTTGTATCAAAAAATTATGCATTTATTATATCTAGATGATCTTTATAAAATGCAAAATTGAATGCAATTATATGACTACTGAGAATGAGTATTTTTGATGATCCCTAAATAATTATTGATGTACAGTAATCACATACACACCAAAATATTATCAAATTATTATGTGCACTTCTTTTATAACTTATGTATGTCTTAACTGATCAATATATTTTATAAATTACAGTCGATCCCCCTATAAGACGGTAGATACGTTCTGTTCTTTATGAATCAATTTTGTAGGAATCACAGCCCGACACGTGTGAAGTTTACGGACTATGGCTGTTTGAAAGGTTTTCTTCCATAAAATTAATCGATTCTAGACTAATTCGACTCAACATTTCCAAAATCTGTATATTTTTTTTGGAAATAATCCGTATAAACTACGCTATAAACAAAAAATTGTAGGATTACTTACTGAGTGTGCACCATTCAACATCGCTGTTGCTCAAGCTTGTTTTCGTCGCGGAACAGCGCAGCAAACCGCGCCCGCGATTTCTGATGTTATTTTTCTGCGAAAACTTCGCTGAACTTTAGAGACATCATTAATATAAATAATTGTAATCGCCATTGAATAAGAAATGTTTCTTTCACAAGAAATGTATAAAATTACAGTGCTGTATTAGACTTACGGTACCTAATTTACATACTGTACAGACAATAG